CTGGAGTTATTTTATGATAACTGTGAACATTCAGTATATTCATTTTGTTGAAATTATAGCTGGAACTGTGTTAATACGATTACTAAAATTCTCCCTCCCCTCAAAGTTTTCATTTTAATCTTGCATCCATAATTTGGGTAAGATTTTTACCTTCACCTGCCATGTGCTAAGCTGGCCTCAGCCGATGGGGTTACACAGAGGACCAAAGAAATGGTCTTTTACTCAAAGGAATTTCAATTAATTGGGAGGAGTCTGCATTGAGATTTAAGAATGTGCAAAAACATCAAGGAGAGGAAATCATCCTTGTAAAATATTTGAGCAAAAAATTTCATAGCTGAGTAGTTCCTGGAATTGAAAGTGGGGGATGATTCTGTGCTAGTACGGAATCAGCCTCTAGACCTGCACTGTATCCCGCACAACGCTTCTGCACTCTCAGTGGTCATTTCTTTCAGGGAAAATCTCCATGACAGAATAAAATAAATAATCTAGAATTTGTTCTGCTTGATCACAAAAAATAAAATGATGTCTATCAAAGATGTTGCCATGCGGTCTGCAATTCTATTATTCATCTTGAGAAACTAAAAAAATTATTCAAATAGAGGATGTAGAGCAGCTGTGCCTGATGGCGTGTCTGACTCGAGCTTGACTGGGGCAGAGAGTAGCGGGTGGTGGTCAGGGGTGGTGGCGGAAGGAGGCGTCAAATCATTTACAAATGGTGCCCAAGCAGGACCCGAAGCCCACGTTCCAAGAGGGTAAACGAGTACTGTGCTTTCATAGGCCTCTTCTTTATGAAGCAAAGTGTGTACAGGTTGCCATAAAGGACAAACAAGTAAAATACTCTGTACGTTACAGTGGTTGGAATAGAAACTGGGACAAGCGGGTTCCAGAAGGCAGAGGACTCAAATATGTGAACCCCGATCTGCAGAAACAGCAAGAACTTCAGAAGGCCAATCAGGAGCAATGTGCAGAAGGAGAGATGAGAGGGGCTGCTCCAGGAAAGAAGACGTCTGGTCTGCAGCAGGAAAATGTTGAAGTGAAAACTAAAAGAACAAACGGAAAACCCCTGGTAATGGAGATGGTGGCAGCACCAGTGAGACACCTCAGCCTCCTCAGAAGAAGAGGGCTGAGGTTGATCCTACTGTTGAAAACAAAGAAACATTTATGAACAGAGGTGAAGGTAAAGTAAAGATCCCTGAAGAGCTAAAACTGTGGCTTGTTGATGACTGGGACCTAATTGCCAGAAATGGCTCTTTTATCTTCCTGCCAAGAAGAATGTGGACTCCATTCTAGAGGACTGTGCAAATTACAATAGATCTCGGGGAAACACAGATAATAAGGAGCATGCTGTTAAGGAGGCTGTAGCAGGGATAAAAGAATGCTTCAGTGTGATGCTGGGCGCTCAGCTCCTCTGCAAATCTGAGAGGCCACAGCATGCCGAGATCCTTGCTGACCACCCTGACGCACCCACGTCCCAGGTGTACGGAGCACCACATCCACTGAGACTATTTGTACGAATTGGAGCAGTGTTGGCCTAGACACCTCTGGAGGAGAAGAGCCTTGCTTTATTACTGAGTTATCTTCATGATTTCCTCAAAAGAATTCAGTAACTTTGCTTAGTGCCAGTGATCAGGGAGCGGCCCCTCCTGAGTACCATCGGAAAGTGTGAGGCGCTCTCACCAGTGTTTGGATCTCTGTCCACACGTTTTTGTTCCTAGTCTTTCTCTTGTACAAATGATGTACCTTGAAGATGTTAGTGTACAACAGAGTTGATGTTTGTTTTGTTTGATTTTAAACAGAAAAAATAAAAGGGGTTTCGGCTCCTTTTTTCTTTTTTTTTCACTTCAAAGTTGCTACCAGTGTATCCAGTGATAGACAACAGAGAGACATGGTGTAGAGTGTTTCGTTGCCTGGCCGACAGAGCTGCTTCTGAATGCTGGTGGTTCTATCCCTTTGACACTACGTGCTTTTATAATATGTGTTAATGCTGTATGATGAAATGCTCTGATTCCTAATGCCAAAGGTCCAGTTCAGTGGATACGCTCATCCATTTGTGCTCTTTTTTTTTTAACGGTGCTTAAAGAGCCCATCCTTTGCAAGTCACCCATGTCGTTCCTTGGGCATTTTATCTTTGCTCAGATTGCTGGACAAGGGTGAATTTGTTTGTGGTTTGGTATTTGTGTCTAATGCATGTTTTAACATGATAGACGCAATACATTGTGTAGCTACAGTTTTCTGGAAAAGTCAGTCTTTTCAGAATTGTTTTTCAGGTCTTCAATAAATTTTTTCTTTAAATTTCAAAAAATATAATTCAGCTAGATAGTTCTAAATGGCCATGAAAAAGTAGCTGCACGCACAGCCAAGTCAGTTTTGTAACACGAGGCCGTTTCAGTTATAACCTGAACTGCATGTGGTTGTGGCACCAGGGCGCTGCTTCTGTTCAGAGTCTGCCCTTCAGACGGGCTGCTGACCATGAGCCCCAGTCCGGGAGCTGCCCAGGCCTGTCCAGTCTTCTTTCTTGACTTGCACTTAAAACTCATAAGTAGATTTTTCTTAAAATGAAATTACTACCATAGTTAAAAATATTTGAATTTTTTAATCAAACTTCCCTTCTGATCCTTTTCACTCATTTTACTCAGCAAGAATCTAATGTGTGCCCACTCCATCTCAAGCACTGGGCTAGGTTTTGGCATTTCTAGGGGACAGTAGACCACTCTATTTATATCTTCTGTACTACGCATTAATCACAGAATCCCATAGCCATAGGTAAAAGTTCTGAGAGGAAAAGCTTACGGAACTCCCTGTATTACGGAACTCCTAGGGGGTGTATGCCCTAGGAGGAAGATCCAGGAGGACGAGTCTCAGGAAGTGATTGTTGAGCTGAGACACAAAGGCTGAAAGAGAAAGGAAGAGCCTTTGGCCATGGGACAGTGTGTAGAGATGCTCCTGCAGCCAAAAGAACTGAAAGGGCTAATCTGTTGGGAGAAATACGCATTTAGACAAAGAAGGTGTGGAAACCTCAAAGAGAAGGAGAAAGCAGAACCTGAAGGAAGTGAGATAGGAAGGTACGTCAGAATAGTTTGTGCAGGTAAGGTGAAGGGCATTCTCCTTGATCCTAAGAGCAGTTAGTCACCGAGCATAAAGTGAAGGAAGGGAAGTGAGTCAGCTAGACTTGTATTTGTGTCAGACCTCTGGCTCTGTTTGTAGAGAAAGGACAGGACAGGACAGAAGAGTGAACCTTATAAGCACTTGCGAAGAGCAGTGTGGCCATCTGGGAGAGGGAGGATGGTCCCTTAGATGTCGGAACTCGTGGAGGACACAGGAAGAAGCAGACATGGAGTGAATGTGGAGAGGCTGGAGGAGGTGTCAAGCTGACACCAGCGTTCTGATGCCTCATTCATTGAGCCCAGTTTCTAGTTGCGGTGTCTGAGCCATTCAAGAAGAGCTGGTTGAGAAGGCTACTGGATACAAGCAAAGACGCTCAGAACAGAGGACAGCGCAGAGGTATAAATTAGGGAGCCATCCGAGGTCTGGATCTGCCTGACAGTATCTAGAATACTGTCCAAACTTCGGCTTGAACACCTTCAATGTGTCGAAAAGTTCACCACCTCAACAAGCAGATATGCTTTAACTAGAGAAAGGTGCTCCTTATTTGGACTAAAAGTTTCCTGAAATAAATTCCTACTGTGAGTCCTGATTCTGTCTTTTAGACAGGCGCGATCTCTCTTCTACCTCATAGGGCTTCAGGAACTTGAAGAAAACTGGTACCACATCAGGCTGTGTCTATGAAAACTCCTTCCACTGAGTTCAGCCATCCAACCCCTGCCCACCTCTTCAAAGTCATTATTAGTGCAGGCACAGAAATAGACCCCCAGAAAGCCATCCATACATCCACACACGTTACCTCCACTCAGACCTGAATATCTGCAGTTTCCTAAGCATGGCACATCTCACAGCCTGTATGCCTTTTCTTCTGTTTCTGCATCGGAGTACTTTTAAATTCTGTCACATGTGGGGTTATACTTCAGAGCAGAGGCTAGTGAGACCAACCAGCTAGCTATAGGAGTAGCTTCAAATGGAAGATCAGGTGGAAAGTGGGCAGGAGCTCGTGCACGTCCAAACTTGGAGGCAGTGTGGGCTTCCTCAAGGCCATTGTCCTGTATTCAAGTTGGTCCTGTCTCTCAGGGGAGGCACAGCAGATTTCCAAGCGGTAGTAAGGTGTTGCGTGAGGGGCCCTCACCCTCAGCTGCTGTTTATTAATCCAGGGGGCTGACCATGGTCACAGAGACTCCTCAGTGTAATCTAATGTGAGTTCTGTGGGGGCAGTCAGAGGCCCAGCGGCTTTCATCTAGTCCTTCCGCTCCACAGGGTCTTCTGCAGCTCATCCAGAGGTGAGAAAAGAGAAGGCACAGGGGATTATGTCCGAGGTTTTGAAGGCTGGGAGACAACATACACCTCCCGTATTCCAGTAACCCAAAGTCAGTCACACGGCCCGTGTAACTTCAGGGAGGACACAGAGATGTACTTCAGCCGTGTGCCCAGAAGGAAAGGTAGCAGGGTTTGGTGCACGCACCTGGGGATACAGGCAAAAGTGGGATGTATTTTTAATAGCTTCTCTGGTTTTTAACTTTACTTTTTTGAAAAAAAAATGCTTGAATTAGTGGTTCTCAAATGACAGTGTAAAAATCACTTGAGGGGCCTTGTTAAAAGTATTCTGGCCCTCCCATGCCTCAAAAAAAAAGCTCTGATGGAGGACTTCCATTTTAATAAGTGTTAAAGGGAGTGGGCTTAGTGACACAAGTCTATAACCCCAGCTGCTTGGGAGGCTGAGGCAGGAGGATTGCACATTCAAAGCCAACCTGATCTACTTGAAACCCTGCTTCAAAAAATAAAAGCCCTGAAGGGGGAAGAAGTAACTCACACTGACAACTTCCAGGAATATTGTAATGGTATTTGGCATCTTGCCCATTAACAGACAGTTGTTACTTTCCTTGATCAAACAGATCAGTTCATTCACAGAGGAACAAGTAGTGTACGGAACAGTAAAAGTCAAGACATTTGTCACATCGCCTTTGGATCCAAAGTTCTTGGGCCACCTCCACTGCGGGGCAGAAGGAATAACCTGAGGCTGTCCACTGAGGTAGGAGCAAGGTTTGAAGAGTTTATCCAACCCTGGAGGATGGCGGGGGGGGGGTTTAGGCAAATACGCATAAACCGGTTTTTCATCTCCTTCTGAGAAGGCATTGCACCAAGACCCGGCACCATTCACTGGACAAATTCTGAAGTGCTGGTTTTTGTTTTTAACTTGTGCCGCAATTCTGACATACACAATTATTCTTAAGCTAATTCCTATCTACTGAAGATGGAGTGTAGCAAATAAGCACACTTTACCATATTTTAATCCACATACCTCGGAAAAGCTTTTCTAATTTACTCATGTTATTTTTCTCCTTTCATTTTAATTGTAGTATTTCCCTTTTCATTCTTTTTAACCTCATTTTCCCTGGTTATTTTTCCTCACTGTTCAAATATTTTTTGCTATGTGGATACTATAGGAAATGTAACACATATTTTTAAATGTGCAGATTAATTTATTTTCCTTACAGACACTTAGATCTGTGGGGTCCAAAAATAGCCGATCCTCCCAGAAGCCCACAGTGGAGAAGTGTGTTAACAGTACCGAAATGTCAGCCTCACTGATGTCTGAGACTGAGGGGCAGAGAGAAAAAGAAAATACTCGCCAAGTAAAGCAGACTGTACGTGTTCATGGTAAGAATCACGCAGAAAGACTGATAGCTAGTGACAGTAATGAGAAATGCTCTTGTTAAGATGAGTCAGAAGTTGCATTCATGACTGTATCTTAAGCCCAGAGAATTGCCATTTAGTAATGAAAAGGGTGGTGGATGCTGAGATAGAATTCTTATACATACATTATCTCCTGAAACTCACTGTTGTATTTACTCCGTTATTTCAAGTTGCTGTCGTATTATTTCTGCATTATAAAAGTAATACTGACATAAAATAACTTACCATTGTCTCCACACTTGGAGAACATTTAAGTTTTCTTAGCTTATTTTCATCTTTTAAAGAATTCCTTTGATTTGTAAAATGCTCTTTGTCTCCTGTCATTGATATAAAAAAGACCTCTGTGGGTAAAGAAAGGACTTACGTTCCATTTTTCAGTTGGAGAGTTCAAGCCTAATAGAGAGGAAAAAGTGATTTGCAGAATTCATGACAAAGAATTGAGACCAGAACCCAAGACTTAAAGCTCCCTGTTAGTTTTTCCATGCTTACTGGTCTGACTTTAATGAGAGCTGAAAAGAGGGCACTTGAATTTATTTTACTTGACTTGTAAATTTATGGTAACTATTTCAGACAGTATTCTCCCATGAAGTAAAGTGTGCCATAAAGAATTAAATAACATCGATGTGCAGTCCCAGCGTATATATCTGTCCCAGGGAGGCCTTGAACTTACACTCTGTGTGCCTCAGTTTCCTTGCCTTAACGTGAGCATACCATCACTTGTGGTAGTAGTGATAATAACCAATAATGGCTGCCTCAGAGAGTCCTTGTGAGGGATTCAGTGGGGAAAAGCAGGTAAGAGCATCGTGTTGCACCAAGAAATGCAGTATGTAGTACTAACTGCTGCCATGAGCAGAATTACTGCTGATTAAATGATACCTCAGACATCTCCAGGCCTGACCTCCATTCTCAAGAGTTCCGCAGGTCACTACTCCGTAAAGTCTTGTTGAAAGTTCACTTTTAAAATAAGAAGTAATTTTTGTGTATTAACTGTCAAATGTCATTTTTTATATTTTTAGTGTAGCATATTGCATGATAACGTCTATCAAATTGTTGTAGCTCTCTCTAAATTGCATGAATAAAAATGATCATGAATAAAAATTTTGAAAGCAGTAAATGAACCTGATACTGCAATAGGAATAAACACCTGTTTTGTGTAAAGGAATAAATTTTGTGATGCAGCTTTACATTATGTCAAAATGATACATGAATATTCTCATTATAGTGATAATTTTATTTACTAAATTATTTCAAGTGATACAATACTTTCTGTTCTGGCTTTTGTTCTTTGGTATGAAAATGTCCCAGCCGATCTGCCTATTATGCATCCACATCCCCCACAAGAACCTTCAGCAGATAAGAATAACAGAAGAAGATTTCAGTTAAAAAGCACCAGCAGAGAAAGGACAGAGACACCCAGCGGTATGGCACTATTTCAATATTATCGGAGATCTGTATATTATTCGGGGCAATGGAATCTCTCTGCAGGTTGTAAATTTCAAAGGATTATGAACCAATTCATTTAAAATATAAATGTCTGTTCTATAGGGATTATGGAAATCAAATTTTCTGCAAAAGAATTGCTCTAGAGCCCAAATAGAGGTTTGCTGGATTAAACAGGCAGCACTACGGAAATAAAGGACTTACATTTACTCTGAAAGGCTGAATAAGATTAAATTACTGGGGTTCCTTTTTTGTTTGTTTTTTTTTTAATGGCCCAGATATGATAGAGGAAATTTTGGCAGACTTTACTAAAATTGAATTTATTATAATTTTTCAGACTTAACTTACGTCTTTTATTCTTCAATTGGGCTCTTTTCAGATTGCTTTTTACATTTTCTATCTCTCCGTTTGGATTCTTTGCCGTATAATATAATGTAGTTTAAAATTTTAACTCCACAACCAGTTAAGCATTAGATAAATGTGGGTGACTTATACAGTTATTTCTTTAAATACTGTATTTGAGGTATGTGTGTGTAGATTTGTATGTATGTATATTAGTCTATCCTGAATCCAACCCAAAGGCTATCATATATACATGTGCTAGAACAATTTCACAAAATTGTAAGGTTCCTGGCTTGGCTGAAATTCAGCCTGCTAGGTTTCAAGTTAGTTTTGTAAAAGAGTAAATAGAGAAATTAATTCTGTAATAATGCCTACATCCATTTTCGTAAGGAGCTGAAAGAAAGAACTTGATTTAAAGAAATTTTTTTAGTAAGAATTACAATTTTTTAAAATTCATCTTATGTGGAGCCCAAGGAAAAAAATAAAAGACCCTTTAAAAAATCTATGGTTTTTGGAATTACCGTGTAGTATAAAACATAACCCTGTTTCTGTGCAAATATCAAAAACTTTAAGGTGAGCTTCTACAGAATGCAGCTGAGTTCATTTTAAAACATTCTGCTGAAAAAAGAAAACTACATAGAATCTCTGTTGTCACCTCTCACTTGCTTCTCAAAAACTCAAATGCAAAAATGTACCAAATTAATGCCTTTCTTTAAAAAACTACTTTTCATAAGTATCAAAAGTAGTAACAGAATGGGAACTGTTTATTCCAATAAAGGCAGTTCTTCAGGAAATAACAAGAACAAAGATGAAGCCACAACTACCCTCACTACTATGAGGCAGCGAGAAGAGACGCTGCACCACAGCGCTGCAGGACACCTAGCTCCCGACCAAGCAGGTTGGTGCCTTCGCTACTGATAAAATACAGTGGTGCCAAGTATTTAAAACCCAGTCATTCTGAAATGCTGTGAAGCAGACGTTTGCTAAAATTTTACAATTTTTTATAAATCTCCTTTGTTAACCTTGATCCTATGCAAGGCTTGAGTGGATGGGAGAGTACTTTGATTCTGACGTTTTAATGCCGCTGTTATCCCATGAGAACAGAAGTTTAAATCTCTGCGGTATTTTCCTGTGACAGTGTTACTCTCCCCAAAGACCACACCCGCTGTCACCTTCCTCCAGTCCTCCAGAAATGGAGATGGCCGGACCCAGAGCACTGAGCCCATCAGCCTGTCTTACCTGACAGGTGTGTACAACTTTCACAAAAGCAAATTGGTTTTGAGCAAAGGAAAAGGAAAAATAAATGAAAATTGTTTGTAGTTTGTCAGTCTTATTTATGCAATGTTGAAACCTTCATTAAAATGTTAGGCGCAATTAGTGTCTCGCGCATAAATCTGACTGTGTAGAAAAACTAATTAGATGTGTAGGTGATCATTCTTGCATTTATCTTGTTTGCTGAAATATTGTGATTACAGAGTAATTTACATATTTTCCTAAGGAAACTCACCAAATTATTCATTACAATTGATATGGAAATACTTGAGGAAAAAGTACAAATCCAGAAAAGCATGTGGTAGTGAGATAATTAGAGTTAGTTTGGTGTAAAACCCTCCTTTGACTTTGACTTTTTGATAGTTAGTAATATGTTTGGCAGTAGGTCATACAGATTGTTTAACTGTGTACTGAGGATGACCAGTATCTTCTCCAGTTTCCTCTGCGTGTCTATGTACTTACGGGGCACGCTGTTTTTATAGTCTTGTCCAGCATGTGTAGAGCACCTACAATGTACCCAGTATGCTCCTGGAACCATGCAGAAGGGCCTGTCCTCCGGAGTCAGTACCAACAAACTTGTATGTTTCTCCGGGACCGTCTGCTCCCTCAGAGAGTGGTCAGATGAAGCAGATTTAGCCACTGGCCATGTACTAGAGATCCTGACCCTGCACTTATGAAAGCTTGTCCCTAACAAATTTTCTCTAAGACTTGTACATGTGTCACCCTTTCTACCAGGTCAGTCATGATATACAATGGTAGCATTTGGTTAAGAAACTGAGGAATAGAATTGTGAAATGTTTTGTATTCATGCCATCAGTGTTTTGGGTTTTTGTTTTTGTTTTGTTTTGTTTTGTTTTGTGTACTGGGGATTAATTCCAAAACCTTCACACTGAACTACATCCCCAGCCTCCCCCACCCCAAGCCATTTTTATTTTATTTTGAGAGAGGGTCTCACTAAGTCACCAGTTGCCCAGGCTGGGCTTAAATTTATGATCCTCCTACCTCAGCCTCCAAGAGTTCTGGGATTACAGGCATGCACCACCATGATCAACCATTAACGTTATTTTTGTCAACAGTTTTTGTTTCTGATTTGCTTTGCTTTGCTTTTATAGTGTAGGTTTTAAGGTTAGCATATCTTAGGTCTTTCTTGGTTTCTTGTATTGTGATTGTAAATACAGTAAGATTCAGGAGTCAGCTATAAATTACCACATCCATATTGTGGTTCTACACAACAAACTTTGCAAGATGTCTACCACTGAAACAATACAGCAAAAAAAAAGTAAATTTTAAGAAAAATAGACTAAATTGAGAAAATGTTCAAATTTTTCCTGCTGTCATTCTAAACGAGAAAGTAAGCATATTTTAATGATATTTATTATGTAGATTTGTCCTTCCAGTTATAAAATCTGTCTCAATGTGGTATAAAAGATTAAAATTTTTGAAGATTAGACAAAATACCTCTCAGCTGTAGCATACGGTATTTAAAGAAAACAAATAATGTGCAAAAATACTGTACCATCTTCCTGCAGTTAAAAGGAAATTTTAGTAACTCAACCTTCTTTAAATTCAGAAGACCTTTTCCTTCTGGAATGTCACATTAATGAGGTTGTGTTACAAAGAACTGTGCTGCTAGACAGGTGATAATTATTTCAGACTTACAGATTTCTAGGCCAGTGTTTCAACTCAAATGGAGAAGTATAAATGATTTGCCTGTAGCTACAGACACTGACCTATGGGCTAAATGTTTAGCAAGTTACAAGATGGTGGATATATTTCCTTCCTTGGCTTCTGCCTTATTTGATAAATTTCTGTTTCAACAACAAGAAATTTTAAGCTAGTTACCTGCCTAAGATATCACTTACAGAACCCTACTCTAATTTTTGTCATCTTTCCCAAATGTCAGATGAGTGGATATTCCCCGAAAATGATCCCATTCTCCACTCAGCATCTGGCAGGCAGTCTCTGCTTCCGGATGAGGAGTCCTACGTCAGTTCACACCTGCGGCAGAACCCCAGCAAGGACAGTGAACGGGACCGACAGGCAGAGGAAACCCAGATCGTTCCAAGGGACGTTTTCACATTTTCATCTAGGCCACGATCCGCACCTCATGGGAAGACACAGAATATGTCCCCAGAGGGGTGGCCGTTTATTTTGGATCTGAAAGAAGATGCCAGTCTGACCAGGACAGACTCCCACTTGGAAGATGATTTCTATGGCGGCGGCAGCAGTGAAGAGGTACTGTTAGATGCGCAAAGTAGTCTTAAAGCATAGTTGTTCCATTCGCTCCACTGAGTACTAACACTTGTTGAAATGGAAAAGGGGAAATCAACTGCTGTTTATGAAACTGCAGCAGATTGCTGTGCCAGTCAGTAGTTGCACCAAGTTGTTATGGTAACTCACTGCTTTTTTATTATTAACAGCCACTTTCATTGTTAATTATGGAAACTAGTTTGGGCCTTGTTTTTTTGTTTTTTTCATTTTACTGTTTGTCTCACAGAATTAAAGAAATAATATACAATTCAGTTATATAGTGGCGAGGCCAGTAAACCGTAAGAGACACTGTTCTAGCTCTCTGGGGAAGCAGTGGTCGAGCTGCTGCACATTCTGAACTGACAGTGTTCTGGCCTCCTTACTCCCCTGCCATCTTTGCACCTTAGCCCTATTAGGACTCATTATTTTCTATGTGGTCCCAGAATTTCAAGGGTTGTGCCAATTAAAGTTTAGATAATGAATCATGAATTAGTCCTGGGACTTGCCTTATAGGAGGTTTTCTGTTTGGAATTATTTAGAATACAAATATGTTATAAATTAGTAAATTCATACAAAAACTGTTTAAAACTTGCTAAAAATTAAACTGAATATGGTTTGGTAATATTTATTTCAAGCCTTTATGATAATTTGTTCCCCATATGAAATGAATTATGTGTGAAATTTCTTTAGCTGTATTCGCTATGATGACCATTCATATTTGCTGGAAAAAAAATTTAAGAACAGAATACAGTCAAGTTAAGGTTTAATAAAAATATGTAAAACATTTTATTTATAAATTATGCAACTATATGTTCATGTATTTTTATAAAACTGTTTAAGAACTGTAATTGATTATGGGTCTCCTTTGGACAGAGGATTGCTGATTAAGTCCATATACCCCTACTCTCAAGGCCGTTGAGACTGTGGTGGGATTCTTCAGGCAGTAATTATGAGTTTTCTCAACTTCTAATGAGTTCTTTCAGCAAAGAACATGGAGGATCCTTTTTTATAACATCATTATTTCTGTATGTGATGAAACAATTGGCAGTACAAAACATAAACCTGCTGCAATCCCTTTTATACCTAAGTAGTGCGTCTGATACTAGCATTTTAAATTTTGCTTTTGGATTCCTTTGTCCCTTCTAGCCTGAAAAACATTAATGTGCAAAAATTGTAACATGGGCATTTATCTTCAGTGTCTAGTAGTGTTCCTACCCCAGCAACTCTTTTACCATATAAATTGGTTAATTGGATCAGGTAATTCGTACCATTTTAATAGGATAGGATTATCCTTTTCCCACATGCACACCTTTCCTACCTAACCCAGAAAACTTACTCTGAGTAGAGATTTCATACAGATAGGAAACACAGCTTTCTGGGAAACTATGATTTGAAAGGATTATGCAGAACTTCACCTTAAATAATACCGCATGAGGAACTTAGCTCTTCCATCTATATGAAGGGTAATCCTTGAGAATAAGCAATAGAGCTTCCTGGGAAAATGAAGGAAACACGCTCTAAATATTTTAATTTGGTATTGCTTTATGTGCTTCCTTTTGCTGCTTGCTACTTCTAACATCCCTAAGTGTTTGTTATGCAGACAAGTATTTATTATCAACTGCATGGAATAAATTCCTCACGCACTACCCAAGTCCTCACTGCCCTGGTACCGTGCGGTGTACCTACCCCTATACCATGCCTGTCAGCGTGGCCAGCAGCATGTAGGGAACCTATAAAGGAACCATCTTGTGGCAAACACCTGCCTGGGCCACATTTAGTTGGAGCAGAGTGGCAGACAAGGAGACAGGCAGAAGCCTTGCCATGTTACCAAGTTTTCGGGTTTGCTGGTAAAAAAAAAAAAAAAAAACTAACAAGATTCCAACCAGGATATAAAATAAAGCAAACAAACGTGCTAGGGTATCGTTAAAAATATTCTAGAATTTGTAATGTTCTTTACCAAATTGGTTTTCTTCTTTTTTGTTTTTTTGTTTTTCTTGTGTGTTTGGTCATCTCTTTAGCTATGGGGTAACTTCTGTTTCTTGACTGTGTAAGTTACAGGAAATTGGAAACATTTCCAGTATTTACATACAGTCTCTAAAGAAAAACCAGCTTAGTTAATTCATACCATTAGTGAATTGTTTTCGAATGTTATATCTAATGTGGTTGTAGTTAAGAAAAACATAATGTTATGTTATGAATAATGGTGAGAAAATCAGTAGTATTATACTACTTACAATGATTGAAGCTTTTAACTTGTAATTAAAAGACTTTATTTGATGTTGGACCAGTGAGAATTTTTCAAGAGAAATTAGATAAATTCAGTAGCATATAAACTAGGAAGAATGAAATCATGTTATTATGAAAGAAGAAGAGCACACATTCATTAGCAAAGGCTAATTAAAACCTGCTTTTAGTGATTCATTGTCCTTATAGCTTAAGTTGCTAATAATTAATTCACATCTGAGGGCTTAGTGTGGGAGCCACAAAAGTAGGAACTTTCCGCATCTTCTCTCGTCTTACTCTTTGCTTCATGCGTATTTTACTCCCTAGACTGCTGCATTTACTAATATGCCGGTACGCAATTGATTTTGAAGTTGAACTTCGTATTTGAAAAGCACATTACAGAAACATATGTCATGATGAGCTATAAAATCAAAACTACAATGTAGAACAAATTGTCTTAGGACAGCTATTAAAATAGAGTGCCTTTCACACGATTGCAGTGATGGAAAGAAAGCAAGCCAGTCTTACTGTCTCTGTGCTGTATTTCGTGCATTATTCCAGACATGGCTTCTGTATACACCTGGCTTGCAACTTGAAATAATTAGCTTTATATTAATACTTTATTCTTCCCCTAATGTACTTTTTACTCTAGAAATACAGCACTGTCACTTTTCCTCATAATTCTGTGCGTCATATAGACAAGGCCATGCAGTTTGTCGTATATAACAGACCAGATTGGAGCACTGCGGCCCTCCGGATTATTCATATTTGTACACAACGTGTGAGAACGGTCGCGTTCAGATTACCTAGGAAGACTCGAGAGCTCCCTCTAGCTAGGTGTATGGAAGCCCGCAAAGGACAGATACACAAGCAACAGAGCGCAAGGCCCATTTTAGTCCTTCTCCCAGCTTTCCTGCTGGTGCTGCTGTCAAGGTATTTTTGGCACAACAGTTTAGTTGTTTGACTTCATACTTTTTTCTGATTGAATATATTTCTGGATATACTATAAACTCACCTCTACGTATTAAACTAATGGTTTTGACTTGCCACCTCGCGTAGCCTATGTGTATACAGTAGAAAGGCTTTTAGTCCATGTGAAGCTGCTTATATTTCTGTGTAACTTTAAAAACTTCTAAATGACAGTGTATGTGTTGGGAAAAATGGAAGGACTTTTTTAATATATTACCTTGAATTTTTGTTCATGTATTTTATTAATTATGACACAGCACATTCTCTAGACCTACCTGAAAATTTTAATATTTATCCTATACAAGTCATCCTTTTAAACTATTCACATCTGTGTGTCTGCATTACTACTGTTAAAGCTTTTCTCTGGAAAGTCACAAGTCTCTTGGTGACAAAAGTTATAAAGCACTTGTCTGCTTCGAATCTAACATTCTGCCACTTTTGCTTAACGATAAGACGCTTTGCAGATATTAAAAAAGTGCCTTTCACACTATTGCAGCATCTGAAAGAGATTTGGTTGTGGGTGGGAACAAGAAATCTTTAAAGTGTTATTGGTTAAAAGATCATAAAATCTAATTTATTGAAAAATATTATTCATTTTGAACAATTACAAAAGACTCATCATTTTCCCTAAATATTCAGTATGTCCTGCCGCACAGTCCCTTCCCTGAAACATCTGGTGTGACTTGCCTGGGAAGTATCACCAGCTACAGGGCAGGATGTTCACCAGAAGTTAGTTGTCCACCCTGTTTACTGTCAGGCATGATGCAGGTGACTTGCTTGCTAAGAACAGCCACATCTTCCTTTCATTTTATTTGTTTGTAAGACAATACTATCATATATCTTCGTCACCCAGAAAGACCTACAATACTTGCATAGTTTCTTATAATAGCCAAGAAATAAAAGTACTTCTTGGGGATAGTCATTATGAAGGCATTTAAGATATAATTGAACAGTCAGTCTTATTACCATCAAAGAATAAATTAGTTTTCATTCTTGATGACTGTCTCTAGCTACATTTATACAAATAACTCTGCTCTCTGACTGCCAATGTAACTATACCTGTACTACCTCTATCACTTGCCAGTGCTGTCTTCAACTAAACGCTGCTGTCGATTCACACATTTAAAGCATTGGACAAGGGGCTGGGGATTTAGCTCAGCGGCACAGTGCTTGCCTGGCAAGCACAACGTTGTGAGTTCGATTCCCAGTACCGGAGAAAAACCAAAAAAAGAAAAAAAATAAAATAAAAAAGCATTGGACAAAAGTAAAAGTTTGTAACTCTAACTCAATCCCAAATTCAGAGCTGCTGTCAAAAGTGTGTCTGGAATATTGCAGATGTGTTTTACTACAGAACTTCTAAGAATGTTATAGAACACTTTTTTCACGGTGGACTCAATTGAAATATAGATAAGATCATCTACTCTAACAAAGGCTAAAGTAGCATTCTATCTTACTCAACATTAAAGTTATGAGACAAAGGGCCTGGTCCCATCTGTTCTAAGTAGGTGGCCCTCAAGAGTCATTAAAATTATCTTTTCAAAATTACAACTGAGCAAGAGGAATCTGTTTTGTGCATCCAGAAATTATTGTCCAAATGCCTATCTGCGTGTCCTTTTAAGAAATCTAATTCAACAGAGAAAGTGCAGGCTCCTTGGGGAAATCATTCTCATCTTCAGCGTACATATGCTGTGCTACAGTTAATCAGACAAACTCTATTGATGTTCCTGGCACTGGGGTGTGATTGAATATTTAACAAACAAATGTTTCTGCACCCAAAAGACAAACAGTTCAAG